CGACGGAGGAGGGGCCCTTCGGCCTTTCCCCTCCGCTTCTCTCTCTCTCCTAAAAACGGGTTCCAAAAATAGAAAAATACCTTGCGTACAAAAGATCTTATTTGTAACTGGATCTAATTTTAATATTGAATATTTTCGAAAAATCATCAAAAATCCATAAATACTGCAAGGAAATTCTTACTCAAATGACCCAAAATGCGTGCCTAGCCGGCTCGCGTCACGAGGCATTTTTCCTCCAAGATTTTCCTACTTTTGCGATCACCCCTAGTGATGGCATTGTTAAAAATCGTGAGTCGGATTTTGAAACTAAAATGAATGAATCTAGAAAGAAAACAGCGTTTTGGGGAGTATGATTTGAGAATGAAAAAGAAAGAGTAGCTCATAAAAGTAAACATTGTCTACATAAATGCTAAAAAACTACCACTTGGATTATTACTTGGCGGGCGGCAATCGCGCGTATGAAGATACATTAAAAATGAAATGTGTAAACATATTGCCATTGGTAATCCGAGAATTGTAGCTGAACCACACAAGCAATCAATAAAAATAATAAATTCAAATTCTCAGCTACTTTTTAAATAATTTCCAAAACTATTAGAAACAAGTGTATTCTTGAAGTTTTCAAAGAGGACTTCTGAAGATAACTTGTTGATCGAGAGGCCTTGAAAAAAACTTGGATCTCTCGTATAGGGTTGCTTGCTAAGTTCAAAGAAGTTAAAAAAATAATCAAATTATTTCAGAATCACGAAATCGTTGCCGGGCATGCCGCCTACGAAACTGTCTTGAAGGTGGAATGAACCCTAAGCACGTAAGGGAAGAGCGCAACAAACAGGAACGAATTGAAAGGCCTTCAGAAGTACAATGCTCAGATTCGGAGACGGGAAGGCGACCATGTTAGTTTTACTAAAACTTTAAAACTCTTCAGGTAATTTCTTATTTAAGATGAAGAAAACTCGCTGACATCGTTTCTCTGCGCTCTTGAAAAGCAAACAGAAATGCTTACGGATGATGATGTGAAGGGTAATGATGTAATGGGTGAATGGAGTCGCGACATATCGATAACGTTTGGTTTGCAGAATCCTC